GAAAAATTATTTATGCATAGTGCAAAACCATATGATTTCTTGATTTTAGTTTGTGGTTTTAATCCAGCTATTGTGGTTTGTGAAGATTTTTTATCTATTGCAATGCACGGACCCAGTAATTATGACTTTTTTCAAGAAACCACAATGATTTAAACAAAAAGTTAAAATGTATTGTATGGCACAATAGTCCAAATTTTTTATATCATTTAATGTGGATAGGAAGAATTCAGAATGTGGATAGAACTCAGAACGTGGTTTTCCTAAAGAAACTTAGAGTGAAAATAATTGTGCAGTTCTATTTTTGCGTAAAAGTAATTTGCTGTGTTCCAGAAATGGTGTGAAAAAGTAAAAATAAAGCTGGGCAATAGCTTGCAAACATAAATATCAAACTACACTTTTCTCCTCTTTACTTGTTTACTTCAAGGAACACATCACATAGAAGCCTTGTATAGGTCCTGTTTGTACTTTCACTATGAGAAGCTTATACTATGAGTGATCATTAAGTTTGCAGATAACACTACCATACTGGGTCTTATTACAGGTGGAGACGAAACAACGTATAGTGGGGAGGTTCAAAAACTATCCACGTGGTGCTTAAAAAACAACCTGCATCTGAACATCAACAAGACCAAGGAGATGGTGTTGGACTTCCGGAGGAAGAGAGAGGAACCTGCCCCACTTTACATCGGGGGAGGGACTGTGTAGAGAGAGTTTCCTACTTTAAATTCCTGGGAGTCCATCTCAGCAAAGACCTCACCTGAAAAAACAACATGATCCAGGTGGCCAGGAAGGCCAACAGAGACCCCATTTCCTTAGGGTCTTGCATAAAAACAGGGTGGAACAGCAACTAATGACCTCCTTTTACCGGTCTACAATAGAAAGCGTCCTCACTTATTGCTTCACGGTATGGCATGCCAGTCTGACAGCCGTGGATAGAAAAACATTATAGAGCACAGCAAAAAACATTGTGGGCCGTCCACTGATACCACTAGATGAGATCGCTAGGGCTCGCTGCCTTAGAAGAGTGAGGAAAATTCTCAGAGATGACTCTCACCCTGGTCATCACTTCTTTACCCTCCTACCATCGGGAAGGAGATATAGAAGTATAGCCATCTGCATAAACAGGCTGAAGAACAGTTTTTATCCATGGGCTGTTAGACTCTTGAATGAGAAATAACATTATAACTACATAGTATGATGGACTGCAGGGCCGGCGCAATGTGTAACATGTTCACACTGGTGCAATAGGACTGGATGTTTTGTTAATGATTTATTGGGTTAGGGATTTTCTGTCTTCACTGTGAGTTGTATTGTGTTGGGGGAGGGTGCACTGAGGGAGCTCAACCAATCTCAGAAAGAGTGAAAGAGTGTCTGAGTTTGTTGCCCTTCCTTCTGTCCAGCTGAGGTTTTGCTGTCTTTTATCTGATCCTGACAGCTTCATCCAGTCTCAAAATGTGTTTCCCACACTCCTGTTGGAAGAAATGTTCATCTGGGTTCCATTCCAAGTGGGGAGGAAGACCCTGGAAACATGGAAGTTGTTTGAAAAGATGGTTTAATGGTGGACAGGACCACATGGGCAATCGAGCACATGGGTGAGAGAGAGAGAGAGAGAGAGAGAGAGAGAGAGAGAGAGAGAGAGAAATTTATCTGTCTCTTGGGCTCTGAACTTGCTTCCTGTTCCTGTGAAAGAAATGTATTCTGATTGGTTGTCAGCTCCCATGGGGCCATGCAGGGGTAACTTTGTAGGTTGTCTTGAGTCCCAGGCTTGGTTGAATCTTGCTGGTGATGTAATGAAGGGGCTTTGGGAAATTCTGATTATGGCTGAGGGATAATCGTACCTTTGTTGGATCTTGGGTGAGGGTATTTGCTTCTGAATAGACCTAGCCATCGCTATCTCTTAAGTGCTGACATCTGCTGTGGGCTATTGAGGAGGGTGGGAACTATTAAGAGTGAGTCTGCTTCCTGCCTTAAAAAAAACCATGTTTCTCCATTTCTCATCCAGGGAAATATAATATGCTGCCTTTTTAATATTTCCTAGAATATTTCATTCTTCTAGGAGAGGGGTGGGTCCTAACTTCCTATACTCCATAATATAAGTATCTTCTCACTACTGTAACTCTGAATTCCAACTGAAAAATATCTTCTTCCGGGGCTCTTTGAAGCTGAGCACTTACCACCATATCAACAACCTTCCTAAAAAGGGAAGTGTAGGACATTGGACAAAAGTTGTTTAAGAAAGTTAGGTTCAAAAATGGCTTCTTGAAGTGAAATACTGCCTTCTTCAAAGCAGAGAGAACCATCCACTTCTGCAGAGGCATTAAACACCACTTGGATCCAATCTTATGCCATCTCTCAGGAGGCTTTGATAACCCAGGAGAAACATGGGTCCAAAACACAGGTGGCAGAGCTCACAGCTGCAAGGACCGGAACCCTTCCTTAGGACCAAGTGGCTGAAACATGAACTGAACATGCTCCAGTCACATTCATAAGACCTGCCCAGCCGGACTTCAAGATATTTTGAATGTGTGATTTTTATCTGACAGATGCCTCAGTAATATTCACAAGGATTTCCATGAACCCTTTTTACCAAAGAGGGACCTGGTTATCAGGAACAGGGCTGCCAGCTGGCTATGTTATAAATTGCCCGGAATGATGTACAGTATATGAGATGGGTGGGCTATACATTTATTAAATAAATAAGCAAATATATGTGGACACCAGTGCTGTGGAGTCGGAGTCGGAGTCGAGGAGTCGGAGTAAATTTTGGGTACCTGGAGTCGGAGTCACAAAAAAACTGAGGAGTCGGAAGTACAAAAACTGAGGAGTCGGAGTTGAGGAGTCGGAGGAAATTTTGGGTACCTGGAGTCGGAGTCGGAAGTAAAAAACCTGAGGAGTCGGAGTCGGAACATTTATCTCCCGACTCCACAGCCCTGGTGGACACACTAAGAGTAGAGAAGTATTTTCTCTTCATCACTTTTATTATTGCAAGGTATGTCCTAATGAAGGTTGTCAGCTATGTTCAGTTGGATGCCCTCTTTCTCCAGCAGTGCACTAGGAATCTCGTGCTATTTCATCTCTGAGAGTTCTTCCATAAAAGAGTGGACATTGCAGGATTCACAAACTGAAAGTGTCTGCACAGATATGACTCAATATAAGATCCAAGTTGCATGCTAATTTCAAGCTATGTAACAGAGCTTCAGGAATAATCCCAACTTCCTTCTGAAAATTCACTGGGTCCACATCAAGCACTAGGGGCAAACTGATAGAATAGCCCTTCTTCCCTGATGATGTGTAAATATAGCTTTTATTTGATTCTCTAACTGACCTTTCTCATACTGTATGAACACAGACTACCTGAATACAGTTCTTTGTGCAACAAAATCATGTTGCTTTTAATTAAATGTTTAAGGTTAATTGTATTTAAGGTTGTAGTAAATAGCAGTGTAGATTGCCATCTGCTGGCTAAAAAGAATAGTCAATTCTTTTTACACTGGAGTATGCAGTGTTTGATCAGTAGATAAATAGTGGTTTTTCTTCCCCTGAAGGCCTCTGATGATCTTCTTTTGAAGGCCTCTGTTAAGAAATTTAGAGAAGATATGGGAAAAAGAAGGTTTCACAAGGAAGAAAGGAAGGGAAAGTTTCAACGGAGGGTCTGAATGTGTTGCCCTAAAAATCTTACATAGATCATTAGGATTATTATCAATAACAGTCAAAACATCTGGATAATTCTCTAATGGTCTTTTTAAACAGGGGACCAATTCATGGTTCCTCAGACGGTTCGGGGGCCAGACCAGCTGGGTAGGTGTGGCTAGGTGGTCATGTGACCAGGTGGACGTGGCCAATTTAGCAGTCCAAACAATACACACAAATTAAACTTTGTTATGCTCCTGAGGGTGGAAAGCAGAATAGTGAAGGGATGTGGCTGCCTTGGGGTGTGTATGAGGGACTTCTGTTTGTGTGTGTGTGTCTCCCTCTCTCTCTCCCTCTCTCTGGAGGCAGGGGAGGCAAAAAACAGGCCTGTTTTTGGCCTCCAGAGGCCTCCGCGCATCCTATTTTTGGCCTCCCTGGCTTCTAGTACCTCTCTGCCGCCCAAAAACGGGCCCATTTTTGGCCTCCAAACATCCTGTTTTTGGCCTCCCCCGGCCTCCTGAAGGCGGGTGGGGGCCAGTGGATAGGCGGGGTGATGTGGGCAGGGCAGCCTCGTGGTCCTGCGTAGGCCAGATTAATGGCTTCAGAGGGCCGTATCGGCCCCCGGCCATAGTTTGAGGGCCCCTGGTCTAATGCATCCCACTGAAATTAATAGGGCCATTATCACATTAGAATTTGTAGTGTTTTAATATATTATCTAGGTATTCAAGAAACTTTAAAATATATTTTAGAACTCTTACAATAATCCCATCACAATATTCTATATATATTGCTGGACTTTAGGATTGAAGGAGAGTACATTTTATCTAAAGACAATTCATTAAGACAATGCAGATTTGAACCAGGGGCTTCTTGATCTATACAAACCAGTCTCTTACTAGATTTTTTTTTGAAGAATCTCATGCTATCTGATCAGCCATGGGCAGCAGAGTCTAAATCCACAAAAGAAAGAAAAATGTACATAAAATCCAGAGGGGAAATGGGGGAGAATGGAGAATATCTATTCCCCCCCCTTTTTTTTCTTTCTAAAATTGTCAGGTGTTGGGGGGAAGGTATGCTTTCACATCTCTTGTTGATCTTGCTGTCATTTAGATACCATCACAGTGTCCTACAGTGAGCACACTAGGAGCCTTATGAGAAAAAAAATCACCTAGACTCAGAAGTTGAATAGTAATAGCTCAGGTTGTGTAAGTCTGCCTCATTATACTGCAGGTTTCTCTAAGACTTGAAATTGGGTCTGTACAAGAGATTATGTATACATATAGATTTTATTTTAAGAACAGCAATACTCTTAATTATTTTAAGTCAAAGCGGAACAGAAAAATAAAGTATAGTTTCTGATATTTAAAATATTATTTTGCAGAGCTAATTTATTGCTTACACATATACGTAACAACCATTTTTAAAAACTTGTTTTACATTGTAAACGTAAATGCTCAATAAGCATTTGTTTAAAAAAAATTAATGAACATGTTGATACAAACATTGCCTTTAAAAGTACCTTTTCTATACTATTGAGCTCTTTAATATTTCTATTTGATGAAAGACAAATTTTTCACAGAATTAATGGGGTTTAAGTCCCACTTAGAAGAGGGGATGCAGCTGCAATTAAATTTTCACCAGATTACATCACTGCCAGTTAAGGAGACCAGAGTTATAATTTATATTGAAATAACGGAAATGAGTCTTTCAGGGATTCATTCCCTGAGGGTGAACTTTGTTTTATGAAACAAAGGCTCCATAATTCTAGAGTGTGTTTTCAGAGATATTTTTTGCTCCTGACTTTGCCCACAAATACTATTAATAGCTAATTAATACTGTTAATTATCTGTTAACAGCAACACAGAATCCTATAAAAATAGGAAGTCACGTGAGTCTTGTGATTTCAACAATTCATCCTTCTTTGGGCCTGCAATAATTTCAGCATCCGTCTGAAGGACCAAGAGCACCAATTCTAGAGCTCTGCGCCAAGCTTCTATCTTAGCAGTAATATTGTCACACACTTTCAAAGCCTTTCCACCTATATCAGAATGTCCAATGCTTACTCCTATCTTTCCCTTACTATATTCCTCCAGGATGTAGGCTGATGGTGAACCATGCAGAGCTGCTCTTCTGAGATGCTGCTGTATGACAGTGTGGGTTTCAAACTCTGATGCACAGTTTGCGGCATTACCCATGACAGCAAACAAGTACTGGCGCCAACCACTTGCCAAAACACTAAGCACCAAAGATTTATATTGTTCTGAGGATTTTGCAAACCAGGAAGAGGCAAAATGAAATTGGCCTGTAGAGTTTGGGGTTGCTTCTTCTAGTTTTTCAAGAAAACTGAGGCATAGGAGCTCAACTGCACCACCTCCTGGAAAAACAGCCTGATCAAGAAGTGCATGATGCAGACGGTACACGCAGGTCCAAAACTGATCTTCCATAGCTTGCATCTTTGACATAAAAGGGCAACAAAGCACAACTGTTACCAATCGAAGTCCTTCTGCTGTTAAAGCAAGTGGGATTTGGCCACTGACCTCCACCAAATTTAATTCCAGAGTTCCATAGAGATTCACGCAAATGCCTTTGACAATACAATCCTCATTCACTTGATTGATGTAAGTCACTATCTCAGCTCTCATAATATTACTAAAAGCTCTCAACACATTATGGTCCACATGATTAATTATCACTATTTTATGTAGGAGACATTTTTCTTCTAGAATTTCACATGTGTCACCTTGTACCAAAATTAAATTAATATTAGACTGAATCAGAATGTCCATTATAGAATCAACCCATAAGCTTGGGCTTTCCTTTGAATGAGACACATTTTCTGAAAACATGCTCATATTCTCTAATCTATTAAACCCTAAATGGTGATAAGTTTCAGTTAGGTCACCATCTATAAGAATAACACGAATAAGCATATCCTGAAATTGCTTCACAGCAGCAGCTTTTGCTGGACATACAAGCGTGATATAGCCAGGGTGAACACACGAATGACTTTCAGATATTCCTGATAAACAGCATGTCACAATTTCTGAAATATCAAATTGGAACGGACAGGTATCAGTTTTTTGATTGGCACCTGGAAGCTGGCATCTGAGAATGTCCTGTATCATTTTTGTGGCAGATTCATTTCCATGGCTAAGAGATAATGCTAGTTGTCCCAAATAACTGTCAAAAGGTTTTGGACATTCATCCAGATGTATTGTTTGTTGTGGTGATTGACATTTATTTACATTGCTAAAGTATCGACTGTGGGTTAATTTTGATCTTCTGTTGTAAGTCAAGGCATCAAAATGACAATTATGCAAATCAGAGTTTTTCTGAATCATTGTCTTGCAAACACTGAAAACAAAATTGCTGTTCATTGACTCAGATAGTAAACATTTCATACTGTTGGTGAGGGGTATGACTGGATTGATATCATTTGTTTGCTGGATCATATGATCTTCTGATTTTTCTTCTGATAGTTCATTTTTAAGTAGATTTAAAATACTAGTCCCAGACTTACTAACTGTTTTTTTAATGTCTGTAAACTGTTTTCCAGAGAAGCTAGAGTTACTATTGATAAGGCTCATGCCTTCACATTCTACAGGAATATCCTTTAGCTTTTGCTGTATGTTGTGTAGTGATAACGTAATACACTGCACTTGTTCAATGCAAGAATCCAGACTTTCAGACATTATAGCTACTATGAGTGAGAGTGGAACATCATGTTGAAGGCACTCAAGTACAGCATTGCTCCATGCACCAACAAGAAAGAGCAAAGTGGTCATCCCTGTTTTAAAATCTTTGTTCTGTGCTTGGATGGCTTCATTAAGAAGCTGCCCCACAGCACTACTTAAATCCATGTTCTCAAGAAGTCTCAGTGGAGAGCAAATTAACATACCACCAGGAATACTTTCATCAACTATAAATTTGGACAATTTCATGGGTCCTAAAAGTGTCCGTCCAGTGGAAGCCAAAGCTGAAAGATGTTGCAGACCAATATGTCTCTTTCTGTTCACGTTTCTGAAAGCCATGTTCCCAGGACAGCTGCAAATGAAACACATATTTGTTGCTTGTGCCTTATTTGTTTTGGCTTTTATGTTACCCTTTGGACACTACTAACATTCTCTCAGAGATAGAGCTGCACCCAGTTCAGACAGAAATTAAATTCTATTTCCAGAATACTGTCATTTTTTTAAAAAACTATTTATATGTGCATAGTGTTACAATTAATTCAAGCAAATAAAAAAAAAACTGCTGTGATTTCTAGATTTGCTCTGACTAGGCATACAGGCAGATTCTCTTTGTACTAAAATCAAAGTTTACTCTGGAATCTGCAGTCTCTTTTTCTCCCATTCTTCTGACAGATGAACAGAATAAGTTTATAGAGCTTCCAAAAATTAGAATTATGCTATGGTCATATCTATTGCATGTGCTAATAAATGCTTTGGACGTATCTTTAAACTAATCAACTTCTTTATTATCTTAAAAAGTTCTTAGATGTATGCATAAATACAGAAGGAAGAAAAGAAAAATATATAGTACAAAACTGGTTATTTCTTCTAGCAATTTTTTCTTGGCAACTTTCTTTGCTCATAATCTAGATTTGCTGGGCTACTTATATCAGTCTTGTCTCTAAACAACTTTTTAAAACAGAAACATCAATGCAATTGTTTATGGAACCAACTGTTGTCTTAATAAAAATAATGAAATTGCATTGCTCTTTTTAGAACCAACAAAACTTCTCAAGGAATATACAAGAAACAATATTTAGGCTGTGTTCCCACAACACACTATAATCAACTAGTTTGTGGCTCAGTGTGTTGGACAAATCCATTGTAGTAACTGTATGATTCGAAGTGTTGGGTAAATGATTTCATTGTCAGTGAACAGGAATAAAGTTTTATGCATTATAGCATACTAGAAGATAAACTTTATATTGGAGAGAGCTGAATAACTGGAATATAATAATTCACATAATAAAGCTGTACAAGAGTATAGTCAGCTGTTGCAAAGATGCAGAAGTGCCTAGATTGGAAGGGTTTATGTCAACGTTGCACAACTGTAAAACCTTCCCATCACCACTTGGGCTCATCCACATCATCTGAATTTCTACCCCTCCTCTTCAATCCTTTAGAAAATAATGTAAACATTACCTAATTATCTTCAGTGCAGCAGGCCATAAATGAAAAAAACATCCTGAGATGAGCTGTGCTTACTCTCCTTTCTCCTACCTGACCAAGAGAAAATCATCCTCCATTGTCACTATCTCCTACCTGCCAATAGTCCTGCAAGAAAAAAGGCTCATCTCCACTTCATGCAAAAGAGAACAAATTGATAACACACCTCAGTCTTGTTTTGTACATGTATTTTATTGTATTTCATATCTTATGCTGGCAGAATAAACTCTGATGGTCATTATAGGAGGAGTTCCAAAAGTTAGGATTGATTGTAAAGTATGTAAAGGACCACACTGAAATATTTCAGAGACTTTGGCTGTCATTCCTCAATTGCATTTCAAATTTGAATTCTGATGATGATATATCAGCATATTGGTAATTTTGTAACCAAGTGCTTTTCCCAACAAATCAGATGGGACCATGGCTGCATACTGCTATGCTGACTTCTTCAGGGAAGTTCTAAATAAGGAAGAGACCAGATGCTATACTTTCTGGAACGCTGTATCAATAATGTTAAAATGTGTGGATTTCAATTCCCAGAATTCCCTAGCCAGGCAAGACTTCCTACCAAGGGAAATGATATCACTAAGGTCCACAGAACCCAATTATTCACAGGAAACTAGCTATGCTGTGATTACAAATATAATAAAGCAGAGTCACCAACAAACTCAGCACTCCGAAATGGGCAACATGATATCAAACAGGTCTAAAGTAGGCCCTGAAGTGTGCAGAGCTCTAGTATAAAAGTCCTCAGGGAGGTCAGCAGGGTACTATTTTCACTTGCTAAAATTCTTTCTGCTGACACAGTAGGAAACATTTCAGGATTCATCTGGGGGGGAAAATTGCTTCAGAACCTTGGATTAGGCTTTTGCTTATTTGACCAGTGGATGAGAAAATGGCATTTGTTTCACTGGTCGAATGATCCACTGGTATGAAAGGGCAAACTTTATATATATTCTGCCCAACTCCTTTTCTATATATATAGAAAAAAGCCCCAGCAGTGGAAGGACTTTTTCCCCCACCAAGGTGAAACCGACTATAGTTTTATCTGGTTCCTCTTTAACACAAATTGTGCCTGTCCCACCCCTCCTCAAAAGGAAAGTCCTTCACAGAAAAAGGAAAGCAAGCTTGCTTCCCCCTGGGCAGGCAAAGGGCTTCAGAAGCAGGGAAATCTACTACTTCTTTTAAGACCTTGTCAGCAGCTATTCAGACAGAACAGCTGGTCATCACCATAGCCCAGGAAGGGGAAGGAAGAGGCCGAAATCTGGAAAAGGATTTCTTCAGTTGGTTTCCCTTCCTGCCCGAGGGACAAGTAGCTGCTGGTTGCCACCTGGAAGAGCTCTTCACCCTCTTGCTCACCCAGATGAGACTAGTAGAACTGGACCGAAGGCGGCATGAAGAGCCGCAACACTCTTGTTAGCTGCTTAATACTGTCCTGTCCACCACCGTCACCCGATACAGACATACACACACAACCTTCCCCCTGCCAACCGAAGAGCTCAGTAAGACCCTCGGGTTGGTTGCCCTTTTCTCTGTGCGGCAAGCGAGAAATCCCCGAACAGCAGCTATTCCGCCCCGTCTGCTCTGCCTTGCCCAACCATCTTGCGACAAGGGAAGGATTTGGATCAGGGGTGAAATCGAGCAGGTTCTGACAGGTTCTGGAGAACCGGTAGTGGAAATTTCGAGTAGTTTGGAGAACTGGCAAATACCACCTCTGGCTGGCCCGAGTGGGGTGGGAATGGCGATTTTGCGATATCCTTCCCCCAGGAATGGGGAGGGAATGGCGATTTTGCAATATCCTTCCCCTGCCACACCCACTAAGCCACATCACACCAAAGCCACACCCACAGAACAGGTAGTAAAAAAATTTGGATTTCACCACTGATTTGGACCGCATCCAGACCCGCTCCCAATCCTTGTATTTTGTCTTTCCAGATTCAGGGTAATATAAGGGGGAAAATAGAGGCGGCTCATTTTCTTATTCCCAACCCAGCCCTCTGGGGCACGGGTCTCCAACCTTGGCAACTTTAAACCTGGCGCACTTCAACTCCCAGAATTCCTCAATCAGCTTTGCTGGCTGGGGAATTCTGGGAGTTGAAGTCCGCCAGGCTTAAAGTTGCCAAGGTTGGAGAGCCCTGCTCTGGGGAAGCAGAGAAGCGGTCGAGGCAGATGCCTCTCGTGTCACCAGAAGCGCGAGTGTCAATCAGCAACATCTGCCGCTCCTCGGACTCCGCCCTACATGACACCGTCCGTCCCCCCGCATCCTTCGCCCAGTAAAGTGGGGGATGAGTTGGGCAGAATTGGGATGGAGGCTTTCCAAAGGAGCGCGCCAAATATCTCCCGCGAACTGAATCGGCTTTAACAAAGCAATTACCTGCTCAGCTTTAGCTCCCTTGTGAAAGTTAGAATCCGCGGTTTGAACGAGAGAAACTACTAATCTTTCTCCCATAAGGGGCCCAGCCTTGCGTCTCTTTGCAAAGGAGGTTACATTCCGAGCAATCGCTGCTGCCCCGGACGGAAATGTCTTCTGCTGAGCATGCTCAGTAGCATCTGAAGCTTTTTGCCCGTAGTCTGCCCTTACTTCAGCGAAAAGAAAGCGAGCGAAATATAAAGTCTGTTGAGACCACGGGAAGCTTTTCCAACTGGATGATAAGCGTTAATATAATTCGACTGGAGCTTAAGTTGCAAAGAACTAAATAAAAGCAGGGAGTGGATTTTGAGTAAGGATCCTAATGACTGTATTGGGTTGCACTGCTCTTTCCTATTGTTTTGAAAATTACTTTTGAAGTCTACAATATTTTTCTTAAATGCATTCTGCTCACGAGCTCAAAAAAAGGTGTAATGGTTTTGTAACATTTTAAATGTTAGTTTTAATATTTTGTGTACTTTTAATATTTGCTTCAAAAAAAGCATTGATATATTCAGGTCAGTTATTAAAGCTCATTGAAAATCGTAAATTACGTGAACTATCAACAACCGACAGGAAGTTCACGAATCGCTTTTATCCTGTGATCCTCTTAAAGATATACTTTTGCTTCCTTTGTCTGTTATTTCATCTAGGAACTCATTCATGTCGATCATTATTTGCCAACTCTTTGCTTTCCGTTCAGATATTTGCTTGAGCTTTTTTATTATTTCCGATAGTCCTTCAGCTTAATACGATCCTTATAGAAAACTGTAAAAAATTTAAAAAAAATAAACAAGAGGCTTTAAAACTCTAAGCAATGATTCCGAAGGATTTTATGAAAGGCTTGAGCCAAAACACTTTTGGAAATAAGTCGCAATAAATAAATAGGAAATAAATCGCAATAGTTTCCAATGCTGTCGTTCTGATCCTGTTGAGACCTTGATACATTTATCTTCACTGCTTGCTTCTGTGACAAGTAAATGGCTAGACACCAAGAAACTTGAGGGTGTTCCTACTGGACCAGTAACAGTAACAGAGTTGGAAGGGATCTTGGAGGTCATCTAGTCCAACCCCCTGCTCACCCAGGAGACCTATACTATGCATTCGAACCGCCGACCTTTCTGATCGACAAGCTCAGTGTCTTAGCCACTGAGCCATCTAGCCAAGCCAATGTGGCTACCTTGCTGTTTCGTTAATGAAAGTGGTCAAAAGCCAAAAGTCGTGAAGTGGTCAAAAGCCAACGCCTTATTCTGGGTCACCCTACCGCAATAATCTCAGCACAGATTGAACCCACCCTGCCACCACTCGGTTTATTGCAAAATAACTTGTCAACCAGCAGCTGCCCAGGGAAACCAACGCTCAAGCTCTTCGCGTCTTCGGGAGCGGGTCTGGTTACTAGGACGCCGCCGCCTCGTTTATTGTTGTATCCAGCGGAAACTGCAACGAGAGCTCTAAATGGCGTCACAAAGCCCGGCCGTCACTCGCGTTTCTGGATTGGCCTTGGTGTAACGAAGAGAGGAGAGTTTTCGCGGGAATCTTTTCTGCCATTGGACAATCCGGGCACGTTAGAGGCGGAACGTAATCGGTTTTTGCAGGTGGTTTGGTTTGTGTGGTTTCTTGAACAAGTGAGCCCAACTTCTGTAAGATAATGGTGAGTGTTTCTTTCCCCAGGTTTTGGTAAAGGAAATAAATATCTGATCATCTTTTTGTAGCCGTTCTCACGCATTTCCCTCTCTGGATCTAGTTAACTGAATTAAGTTACAGCGTCATTAAATCTCTAGGGATCACGGTTGCAATTCGTCCTGAACCGGTGGCTTTCGGATTACTTTTCGCGCCAAATCCAGCCTGATTGGCTGTAGTAAAATCTATGCCCTATTTTACTAGGGGATATTTTTAGAACCCGAGCAAAGTAAAAACCGATCAGATTTAAAAAAAAAAAAAGTATTGTATCTCAATCTTCTGGAGTTCTGCTGGGAGGGAGAAAAAAGTTTTCTTATTTATTCCTGGATGAGTGTGCAGAAAACTGGTACCTTTTTTGGCCAGTGAATATACCCGAGTCCTAAGTACCGTGTAGAAAGTTAGCCCAACAACCGTAAATCAAGAAATGCTTCACGAGGAACCATGGGGCGATTTAAATAATATTTAATGTAGTAATACAGTGGGTTTTGTTTCCTCTTTGCAGTGTTAATATTGTAGTAAGGCACTGCATGCGTGGTTTTCAGCCATAACTTGCTGACTAAACTCCAGCGGACTGAAAATCATAGTTTATAAAAGAGACGTATTTTCACAACACACTCAAAAGTAAACATGGCTTAGTGCCATGTATGACTCCAGCTTCCCAGTCTTACTAAAAATTGCGAGTTTTTGAAGTTTATTTCCATCCTTAAAGTATTTCTGGTTGTTCCCCTTGAGAGAGCATCCAAATTACCCCTCTGTGTAGACGTGTAGACAGATAAAGTACATGTAATTGAAATATGGTTTTAAGGAGGAAAATTTTATGTTTTCTACCAACTAGTATTTTTGATATCTGCTTATATCTAAGTGCAGTACAAATGAACAATATAAGTACCACATATAGTGAACATATACACTTGAAAGCAACATGTACCAATAAAGGAGAATATTTATAGCTCAGGGTTGAAATGAGGGGTCCTTGGTACTCTATGAGCTTGATTGTTTTCTTTCATTACCCAAACTAGGTAATATCATCAGTGCTGGTAAAGAGAGGGGTTTGGTGTCAGTTTATATTCTAGTGGCTTGCCCTGTTAGTGTTGGGGAAGGTGGCCTTAGAGGTCTTTGGTTGGGCTGTTTACTGTTGGCTTGTTTGGCAATGTGGAAAATAAGTTTAATGAAATAAACATTTTAAATACTATTTTAACTTGTGTTTATTGAAGGCATCTGGATTCAAAAAACCAGGTTTGAGTGGCCCCCATCGTCGGAAAAGTGGTGGGTTAAAACATGAGCTTTCTGAAGATCAGAAGCAGGAGATCAGAGAAGCTTTTGATTTGTTTGATACTGAGGGGTGCGGTAGCATTGATGTCAAAGAACTGAAGGTATATATTAATTTTCCTTGTCTTCTTTAATAATTTGGTTTTATTTGGATTTTTTTATGCTGCAATATAGTCTTACAACCCTATGATATTACCCAAAGTGGTCTATTAAAGACTACCTCAGGACTAACTTGCAAAATCCAACTTTGCCAGATCTGCTCGTCATGCCCATGGAAGCCCAATTTACAGGTTGCCTTATTTAACTTTGCTGTTTCATTGCTTAAATAAATTTTGTGTTAATTGTAATAAGAAAATAGTGCAAAATATAGGTACCGTAGTACAGTACTTCAGTAAAAAACTAATGATACCAAACCCCAAATGGTCAGATAATTTCACACAGTGGTTTCATGTAGATATTGAAAAGGAGGAGATAGAGGAAGCCTACAACATCTCACAGAGGAGTCCAGGGGACAATCTCCCAACCAACTAGCACCAACTGGAACAGGCCTTGGAAAAAAGGAAGAGAATTGCCATAAAATGGTGCCCTCAATCCCCAACCCAAAGAGTCAGCTCAGAAGGATACTGTGGTCAGTAGTATTGAAAGCTTCTAGATCAGGATGGATGCACTATCCGCCAAAAATTATCAACAAAGGCTGTCTCAGGACTAAATCCCAGCCTGAAATGTAACTGAAATGGGTCTAGATAATGTGTTTCTTCCAGGGTTTTAATCAGTTGCAAACTAACAATCTTCCCAAAAAGGGAAGGATGAAGATTGGTCAGTAGTTGTCAAAAACAGTTGGGTCCGAAGATGGCCTCTTGTGGAGGGAGCATACCATACATTTATGCTTTATGGATCAATTCTTGTTTCTGATTTGAAACTTGAGGTCTACCAGGTACAAATACATTCAGGAGTAATATGTATTGTTGTTTCGGAGATTAACAGTTTTTAACCTTAATCTGGTGGTGCATGTTGGAACATAGATCTCTTTATAAAACAGCAAATGGTAAGCATGTGCTTAGAAAAAAACGTCTGCTATAGATGAGAAAATAGAAGTCCCTCCTGGGACAAGGCTCCAAACCACTACTTTCATTAGCAGACATCTTTAACCTATTGTTTTATGAACAGAAACACATACTTGTTGATAACATTTAGCACAGGATGTTTTTCCAGCCTTTATGCAGCTGTCTTATTGGAGAGAAAGAGAAAGGGAGACAGCAGTCTCAAGGAAACAACAGCAAATTGTAAATTAGAGTTAGATAATAAAAATATATGGAAATGAAATTTCATGGAAATTGTTAAACCAACAGGATATGAAATGTAAGAACAATAGGACAATTTCCATGGATAAAACAGAAAACAAGCTAATTACAGATCCCTATTAACCCCTACAGTGAGACTGGAGGAGTAAAAGCAGTAAAAGATCTAAGACTTAATTATTTATGACTGTATATTCCTTTAATGGGACGTACTTTGTAAAAACTGTATAAAAGAAATAGATGACATGCTTGAGTTGGAATCTACATTAAGATGTTTAGAGTAGCCTAGAGTAAGCAAAATAGGCAACAAATAAAGTTAACAAATAAATAAATGAATACATTATTCTGTACGAAATAAAGTTTTGCAGAGATCTCTATGTCTGGTGGAACTCAGTTTGGTGGAGCACACCACATTAAGAACCTATAGCATACCTGGGACAACTATGGGACTAACATTTCTTTAATCAGGAGCAACTCTTTTAGGCAGAAAAGTTTGTAGGTAATTTTCAAGTATGTATTGGACATGTACAAGTTATTAGCTTTTATATTGCAGGTTGCAATGCGTGCTCTTGGTTTTGAGCCAAAGAAAGAAGAAATTAAAAAGATGATAGCAGACACTGGGAAAGATGGAAGCAGCACCATAAACTTTGAAGACTTTTTAGCAATGATGACCACAAAAATGGTAACATGATTTTACTGTCATTATAGAGAGATGTAGGATGCTTGGGGGTGTTTTTGTTTTATTTTACTATTTTACCTTTGTTTTTGTAAGAATGAAAAAGATTCTAAAGAAGAAATTCTGAAAGCTTTCCGACTTTTTGATGATGATGGTACAGGCAAGATTTCCTTTAAAAACCTAAAGCGGGTTTCCAAGGAACTTGGAGAAAATTTAACAGATGAAGAACTGCAGGTAACTGTTCAGTTTTGCATAGCATATTGGACACTCATATCATGTCACCTAAGAGTTGTAATTCCTGCTCTTTATTGGTTTCTAATAAAAGTTTATCTTCTCTTCAGGCTTTGATTCATTTTTACTGATTGGTCTTTCTGGTGTTGTTTTCCTGTGTGGTTAAACTATTGAGTCTGTTTTATTTACTTTTTCAGTACACTTCACTTTAAGGTCTGATTTAGCTGCTAATATACAATTTGTGATATTTTTTACAGAAATTTTATTATTTTTAATGCTTCAGTTTA